TTGGTTTACTGATATCAATATTTAAATGAAGTATGATAGCATTACTAAGTGACAAATTATCAGTTCACTGAGAGATTATGTGAACACGAGACATCTTCTATATAAATAAAATTAGAGTTTTGTCTGTACATTATTTCTTAGTACGATCTAGGACTTGCCTGAAATATTGTGTTCAACTGTTACGGGCTAGAACTAGCGTAAGATGTGTTGGTGGGATAGAAAAAAGGTAGAAAAATTACAGGGTCGCGTGACTTTCTCTCAGTAACATTCTTAAATTGTATTTTAGCTTTTATTATGGTTTAAAACGCAATACCATAGATCCAAAATGTTATAACACACATATTTTTACTTTGTTCAGTTGAATTAGTGATTAGGGTAGAGGCAGCGTAAAGAAAATGAGCAAAATACAGGGCAGATAGTGGCGTACACAGGGTAGTATTTAAAGGCTAAAAATAGATCGTTTAAGGAGTTTTCTTATCGAATAAATTCATACTGTGTGTATTGATGTAATTAGCATTGTTTTTCAAACATGCTATTATCTCACGTCAAAAATGTGCTAGTATAATTAACGACTAGTGTACATGTTGCTCTAAATCGAGCAATTGCAAAGAAGTAAAGTAGTTATTTAAAAACAATTATTAACTTATTTAAAAACGAATAAAAGTAATAATTTCCGATGAGTTTAAAAGACTAAACTCATAGATGGAACGTACCTAACATTTCCATATAATAGCCTAAACATTTCTTGTAAATATTTTACCATTTTTCAAAAGCTGATCTGGTTTTTAGTGTATTCTACAAATATTTCCCACTTATAGCCACATTAGGTAGTCCATGTTGATCTTCGTCAATGATAACGTAGTCAGCATGGTACTACCCATTGTCACCAGTACGTTTACAAATTTCAGTAATTTTTTTATAGAGATACAATTTTGTTTACAATAGGTACTTAAGAACTGCCTGATTTTCCGCTTAACCTCTCTGTCACAATTTTATTTGCCTCAATTGGCATTAATTTGGCTAGTTACTGTTATAACGTAAGTTATATTTACCTGAAAATATGCAGAATTGTTAGGCCTAATGTTGTTCAGATGGGTTTTTGTTTCCCTTGAATGTGAATAATGCGAATCCTTCAATGCAAGTTTTATTAAGGTTTCTTGGATGTAGTCATATTATTTTAAATTCACTTGACTTTTATGAAAACATATACTGTATAATGTCCTTGCCGTACCAGTTTAATTCGGCCTTAGAGGGGTTTCCTTTGCAAATCATCATAAAGTTAAGTCCGTGTTTCCTACAAAATAGTAGCACTTCCGATAACATCCTTGTTCATTGTTTGTGGGAATCTTCATATTGTAGGTGTTCTTCTTTTATATAGGATGATAACGATAATATTTTTAAAAAATCTCGATTTCTGCTACTTGGTGGCGTTCTATGACTTTCCTATGTTTCCTTGGAAAGCAATTACGACCTTTAAGGGCAGTTTATGAAATGATGGATAATTTTGCGCAAGGTTTCTCGTCATGACGAACATTTTAAGTATATGGTTTATGGGGGTGTGACTTGTAGTTTTCTCAAAAGTTCATGGGTACTTTTGGCTTTATATATAGATATAGATTGTATATATATATATATATACAATGCATGTTGGGCTATATTATTTTAACCTTTTTTCCTTGGAGCAACATACAGTAGATACCTGGTTAAAATCTACTCCAAACAATTTTATTTTTCCGCCCATTGGAATTTGTTATAGTAATTAATGAAAGGAATATTGCCTGTACAAACCTATTTCAAATTTTATTCCCAGGTTATTCTCTAGAGTAACTGTTAAGGTTATTCCACTCGATACAAAGTATAGATTAAACACTACAATTTTTTTTAATTTTTTTTTTACAAGTATTTATTTACAATCTATTCTATACTAGAATAATAAGTAAATTTAATAACCATTTTAACATGGGTTAGTTACACTCCATCAAGTGCACTAACATACAAAAACTTTTAAAAAGTTTAACTAAAAAAGATTTGGAATGTCTATTGGATTAACTCTTTTGAGCCTATATGTAGCTTCACTATTGTCGAGGAGGTTAACAGCCAGGAAATTTGGATGGGTTTCTAATTTTCTTTGGTATTTTTCACTTCGTTTCTTTATTTCTTAACAGGGTAATTTTGTATCTCGATGAATTACTTTATTTGTGACAAACCAAGGTGCTTGTACAATTTTTCTCAGTGTTTTCGATTGAAACCTTTGAACTATTTCTATGTTTGAGTTGGAAGTGGTTCCCCAGAGTTGGATACCGTAGGTCCAAATAGGTTTCAATATAATTTTGTATAAAAGTAATTTATTTTCAACAGATAATTTTGAATTTCGACCAATGAGCCAATTTAGTTTGTTTGTTTTTAAATTTAAATGAAGTCGTTTGTTCCAAATGTGTGAATGTGATGTAAGCCGTCTGTCGAGATGCATACCAAGGTACTTAACTTCGTTGGATTGTGGAAGCATGACATTATTCAATGTTACTGGGGGACAAGTTCTTGTAGACATAGTAAATGTAACTTGAACGGATTTTGTTTCATTTACTTTAATTTTTCAATTCTGTAGCCACTGAGACAAATCGTCTAATGCAGCCTGAAGGTTTGATGATGCCAGAATAGGATCCTGATTTGATGATAAAAAAGCAGAAACACTACAATTACGTGTCAAATTAAATGTTATGAAATTTAAAACAAAAGTTTTGAATAAATTTTCAACATATGTTTTGAAATAAAAACAAAACAGAAGTTTTCTAACTAATCTTGCATCGTTGATTATTTAGTCAATGGGGCTATTTCATGTTAAACATTCCTTCAGCACAACAATAACCTACAAATGTGAAGAAATGTAATCAAAGTAAAATAATTTTGTAAACTTCGTAAACATATGTTTAAAAAAAAACAAAGCTTAAATGTTTCAGCCATTCTACTTCCATTTACTTTGATTTTAACCATCTCCCACGATTCTACTAAATTTCATGCGCTTGGCTAATTTACATACAAATACACAAATTTGCAAATTGCACAGTAAAATTAATTTCAACATTCTAAGACATAACGAAAAAAGTTTCAATTGTAGGTAACGTCATCCCTGGTTTTATATAGTATACAGTACATTGCAGAATTTACTGGCAAATGAGTTAAATCCAAATGTAATATTGCTTACTGGCTTAATGATAAATCACGATCAGCTGTATTGAGGTAAACAAAAATCAACAGGTAAATGGCTTCTAATGCTATTCTTATGGAGAACATTTTACGTTATATTATTGACTAAGTCAAAGGTTATATCTAATTTTGTGTTAAAATTTGGGGAATTCCACTATTTTTCCCGCCGTCACGGGATCGAGACCTTTAATTTTAACCCTCTCCCGTCGTTCTACGACTACCCAGTCGCCCACAATTTTGACGCAAAGAATCGGCTTTCGTAATTAATATATAGATAGATATTTAATTTCCACAAAATCAGTTAATGTAACCAATGCGTTTCGTTGAATTGAAAAACAAAATTCACCTCACCATGTATACCTTACCTTTGAAGTAGAGGCTATATTTATTCCCAAAAGGAATCAAACGCCAGCTCCTGATCAAATCTTTTCTATCACTTTAAAGTTTGTTTCGTGTTTTTAGTCTTCACGTACAGAGACTTAAATCTTTGTATTAAATTGTTAGCAATCATAAATCGTGGACAGAATCTTCCACAAAAGATAAATACAATATAGTTTAACACCCTAGAACTCCTTTAAAAAAATATGTTTTGTTAAGGCTTCGTCATAATGTTAAAAATACTCAATACAACAAATTCATTAATTTTACATATGTAAACGTTGATAGTTGTGTGCGTATTGTATTTTAATATATCTTCTGTATACATCTAGTCCTCTATATTTTCTGTGTACACAAATGCTTCTGTATACACTTTTTTGCAACTCACAGTAACTGAGAAATATTCTAAACTGGTGAACTGTTTTTATTAATTTTTACCATTATTTCTCAACCCGTGCTTAGAAAATTAGTGACTCGTGGATAAATCCAGATACAAAATTTAATCTAAATCGGACCACAGGTTTTGTCTGTAGCTCTGTATCTGGATCATACATGTGTGTATTATATAACCTGATATTAGTCAAAATATGTTTTATTCTATAACGTTTAATTTAATTAAACATAAAAGTCATGCTCCCTCCATTTTTAAAGTATTCAGTCCAAAAATGTAATAAATTTACTTGTACATACATATTTATTTCGTTTTAATAAATAATTGAGGTGATGTAATACACTTATGTAGGCAGTCGCAGCAGTCGAAGCCGGGCATAGCGCCTAGAGTTTCACGAACGCAAACCGCGCAACGAGTAGCTAAATGAGCCGTAGAGTAAGTGAGCCATCTAATATTTTGAAGAGGGTTCACTTACTCTACGGATCATTGTGCCAATGATCTGTAGTGTAAGTGAGCCATCTAATATTTTTCTGCAGGCTCGTATAGTATACGAGCCTATTCCTATAATTTATATTATTCATTATTTTGGCTCGTATACTATACGAGCCGATTCCTGAATTATCAAATAATTCGTAAGCTTGGCTCATAGTCACTATGATCTGTAGAGTAAGCGAACCTTCCTACTGTATTTTTAAATATAATACACGAGGCTCATAGGCACAATGATTTGTAGAGTAAGTGAACCCTCTTCATTTATTTTTTATTTTCGATAGGCTCGTATAGTATACGAGCCTGTAGTGCAAGTGAACCTTCAATATTATTTAAAAAGCTCGTATAGTCTATGATCTGTAGAGTAAGTGAGCTGTCCCCGATAAAACATATAATGCTGTGCGTAACTGGCATCAGTCATCAGTGGTATCACTGGCATCCAAGACAATGCCTTTTATGTCAAAAAGAAGTAAAAGAAGTTTATTTGTAAATAATAAGTAATAACAACATAACAAACAAAAACGAGACAATACAAAGATTGAAGGAAGAACAACAAACAAGACGAAGACAAGCAAGAAGTTGAAGAGAAGACCGGCTCCGGCTGACGACAAGGACAGCCGACATTTTTAACATTTAAAAATTCAAACAATATGAAAAGTAATGATAGGCTTCCTTTAGAACTTTAGAAGGCACCTAAAGAGAAATTAGTTGAAATGGTGTTTCCACAGTTGGTTTGTGTGTAGGTAGGCTAATCAAACAGGCTCTATCTTAACTGACAGTGTAGTCGTACAACTATGGACTTGACCAACTACTGCACGAACTATTAGTGGAATGTTTAAACTTAGAGCAGTTTAAACTATAAACAAGTAGGTAAAATCACCAATAAGTTTTATTATTTATTATGAAGTGTCTGTAAGCCTTGTTCTCATTACACCATTGTATTTGTAACTTAGGCCGAGTCGTTGATAACCATGATCAGTCAACGGAATTCGAGTTTTGTGGTGGCTGGCTTGTTGATTTGAAAATAATTAAATACAAAAAAACACCAGGAAATAGGGTACAGTTTTTTAACTGCGCTATGCTAATATTCCATTGAAACTGTAAATTCGATTGGTAACTTAATCCTTCCTGCAATTTTTTCACTATCAGCAAGTTTGGTTAGGCCTAGTTTAGGTTACAGTTTCATTTTATAATCGCAGAGGATACGCGTCCGGTAACCGGACGTGGATTAGGCATCCGGCAGTTACTGTCATAACCTAACCTAACCAACCAAACTTGCTGATAATAGAAAAATCGAATGAAGGTTAAATTCTGTTCATACAATAAAATAATAAATGTAAAAAATTCTAACAAAAGATGTAGCTACAGTTAAGAAGAAATGGCATTCAAAGCAAAATCTTTGACAATAAGTCAAAGTTACCGATGGGATTTGAACCAGGAACCTCTTGCATATTAGCCGAGCACTTTATCCACTACAACACGAACTCCGATGACTGTACATTGTATCGTTGTGGTAATGGCATACCGGGCCCCCACAACCCGGTGACGTTACTGTACTGCCGGACGCCTAATCCACGTCCGGTTACCGGACATGTATCCTATGTGTTTTATAGCTTATTTAAAATATCGAGAACAAGGCTTCATTAGGAATGTACAGTTATCCATAGCGAAGTTGGTGATGGAAGTATGCCCACCTCTAAGAAATGTAGTGCATGGTGTGATAGGTGTTTAACATGATGGTTGTTTGGTTACGAATTTAAACTTATAAAAATACCCCCAGTACGGCAAACTTACTGACTTAACAACTTTCCATTTACCTGACTTGACTTTCCCTAAAACATTCCCTTAAAATTGTCAGATTTATTCCCTTAATATTGCCAGATTTATTTCCTATAACTTAAAATACCATACTAATAAAATATTATTTTAATGTATACCGCTACAGGGAAGGTAACCTAATAAGCTCAGTTTTTTATTGTAATTTTGATAACGTAATACAATAACCAACTTCTCTAAATCAATTGGATTATAATATTCAAACAAGCAAACTACAATAGTTTTTAAATTTATTCTCCATGAGAATAACATTTTTAATTAAAAATTTTTTCCTATTTTGAAATTTGATCTGCAAGTTAACCTTTGGAAAAAGCGCTTTGTACAAAATTTTTCTTAGGCCTAAGCTGTAAAAATATTTTGGAAAGAAATTGCAAAATTGTATGTTTAGATGACAGGTCAAAAATGGTAAAAATAAATTTATACCTCTATGGTGTTAGCAAAACGGGAGTGCCGATGGAGACCTGTGGGGATGCGTGCGTTTAAAGGGACTTGACCTGGTCTCCATCGGCACTCCCATTTTGCTAACACTGTAAATCCCCTCTTACAACCCTCCCCCCATTGTCCAATAATGCTAGTTTTTGAACTCGTTTGAATAAACATATAGGCTATGAATAAACTTTATTCGCGGGTTTACACATTTCTAAAAATTTTATAAAAATTAATCATATTTAGTCTAGCTATTGCGCTAAGGGACACATTAAAAAAATATAAACATAGCCTAAATAAGTTTAATTAATTCAGTCCCGGGTGTCACAGGTCTTTCCATGAGACCTACGGTAACAGCTTATTTCCCCATATGAAAAATTTGCTAGCCTAATCGAAAATTTTTATGAGTTTTACTGTGCCTACAGAAACATGTCACTTTAAATTAAGTTACCATACAGTACCATATTTACCTACAATACAATATAGGCTACAATAAATTGGTTTTTTTGTCTGCTAACAATGAAAAATAAACTTGTAGTTCTAAACTTCTATCTTACGATGGCGGCTATGGTTCCCTACTTACCGTAGCCTCTCTAAAGAGAAATCTACAAAGAATTGGGCAAGGTTAAACTTACCGGTAACTTTAAATGGCACTCAGAGGATCAGTTAATGCTTATGTTCATTATGACCAGGTAAATTCATATTCAGAACTCTTAAGAACCAATATCAATTGGCTTCTGTTTGAATGGCAATACATAAGCTATCTTTTAACTCTCAAAGTTCCTGTAACTAATTAAAGTTTAATTGTTTTCAGATTGTTTTTCCTCTGCTTCCAGGCCAAATGGTACTTCGGCACAATGATTTAGATAGTTAACAAGGAATTTTGTCTCCACTTATAAAGACAAAAACTGCAAATAAAAGACCAGTCTGCCCATCAGGAAGAACAGGATCTTATCTAGTTAGTATTTATTTAATGTTATAAATTTGTATTTTACTTTACATGTGATAGGTGAGATATCGCAAGAAACACTATTGACTCAGTAAGAAGCCAAATGCATGGTTTGAAAATGTAGGCTATGTAAGTAGATATTTGTTCCTTTAAACAGACTGTACAAAATCACAAGAAAAAAAACTTGTTTAATGTCTTCTGTGACACTTACAACTTTCTCCTTCCCTACCAGAATAAGTGAAGTGAAAACCTTCAAAGCAAAAAACGAAAACACATCCGTCAACGTGTGTGCGAATGGGGTTAAGGGGTCACATTTTGTCATTACGTATTGTTAAGGAACAACCGGATCACTTTGAAGTTCTAATAGTCAAAAATAAGTCACTATGTGTTGATAACAGATTTTATCAAACTAATGAAGCTGCAAGAATTCTAATAAGATAACAATTTGCAAACAGTTTTCGACTTAAATAGACTTAAATAGAAAGCACACGATGTAAGCCTTGTCCAGAAGGATGGCTGGATGAACATCTGCTACTTTGTGTGAGAGCAAAGCCCAGCGAGGTAGCGGGGAAGCTCCCTGATTCTGATAAAAATCAACTAAGCTTCAAAAATTATGAAACGCAAATAGAAGTACAAATAATTATAGCGGCAGATTTTGAGTCTACGCTACATCCCATACCTAGCAGAAAAGTGCATATCAACGCCATGAAGCCAACTCCTTCTGCACTCTTGTAAAGAGCAGCCTACCTAACAAAGCAGACATTAGCTTAAAACCACACCATCGTCGGTCAGAAAACGCCGGAGCAGAATTCCTGCTACATGCAGAGCTTGGCCCATCGTGTCGAGAAGCTTTACACAAGACAGGCGGCCATAATTCCCTTGAGTGAAGATCAGCTCATCTGCCATATGTATGCGACAAATTGTGATCTCTGTGAACAAGCGATGAATCAACCATACAATTGCGCAAGGTCCGTGACCACGATCATATAACTCAGTGGCGTAGCAAGCTTTGGAGCACTCTGGAGCAGACATTGCTTAACCACCCCCTCTCCCAACATCAAACGTATGCATATTGCATATTTATTTCCCTCGTAATGGTCTTTGCGGACAGTTTGTTGATAACCACTTAAAACACAGCGTAAACTGACAATAAAAATAACTTCTGAAACGAACTAGAATTAGAATAACGCATCCTGTCTGGACAACGCGGCAACGTCCGACTCGCGACTACAACTGAAAACTGAACTGATCAACCGACAACGATAACTGAACGCCGCAACACCGACCGGCGGACAACGGTTTACAGCGGCAACGAGTTGGCAATCGTTATTGAAGTAACAGGTTGCTGCAACACGTTATTGGGCAGCTGCGTTATGGTTATAACCGTTGCCGGAAAACAACGATAATTCCCATCTCTAGATAGACCTCTGGTAGCAAAAGCATTAACTAATGGTAAAAGTTCTCCCTTTACTTAACAGATAGTGCTAAAATGAGTATAGGTCCAAGGTACATATAGCTGTCCAAAGTACAACACCTTCCTACTCGGAGAGAGCTTTGCCTGTCAATTCGTAGGCAGCGCCACCAGCATACAATGCAGCATAGCAAAGTCGACCAAAGTGAAAGATGGTTATATATTCTGAAAGAAAATTAAATTTGCTACAAATTACTATAATGCATTTCTTGAAAATACGCAATAGGCCTATAATGGCTCTAAATAAAAAATGTGTAAACACAAACACCGTTTTCAATGTACAGTATTTCTGATAGAAAACATGTTTAGGAAGTGAGCTTTCTAATGACCCATTGATTAATAGAGTATAACTGTAGATCTTTAGTTGTACAAAGATTTTTAAAACTGAATTTTACAAGAGAAGATTTACGTAATACTTACTTGTAATACTTGTCGTCTTCGTCGTTGACCAATGAAAATTGGATAGACTGCGTCAGAAGTGTGTTGAGGCTTTTTATTGCTCAAATAGAGACCCATCTTGTAACTCTTGAAGAGAGTAGAGCGGCCTTTTCACTAAGCAATCCTTCAGTCTTTTCTTAAAAGCCTTCGGGTTCAGGTTCTTCACCTCATCCGGTAGAGCATTAAAAATCTTTAGGGCTGACTGAGGATAGGCTCGCTGTGTCATACCAAGACGACATCGGGGTATGTCCAAATCACCAGCTCTGCGGGTACCGTGGTCATGGTGACTCCCTCTTTTTCTAAAGTCTTCGAGGTTTACTCTTAGCATAGTTAAGATGCTGTAGATGTACTGACTGAAGACGGTGAGGATCTTCAAGTCAATAAATAACGGCCTACAGTGGTCCAAATGGCCAGAATTGGACACAATCCTAACTGCCCTCTTCTGAAGAAGTAGTAGGTCCTGAGTATCTGTAGAATGTCCCCAGACCACAATCCCATACACAAGGTGGCTGTGAAAGAGCGCGTGGTAGGCAGTTACCAAATGTGACTTAGTCAACACAGATTTGAGCTCTCTGAGAAGATGGCACACTCTAGACAGCTTGACACATACCTGAGATATATGGTGATTCCAGGTTAACTTCGGGTCAATCCAAAAACCCAATAGCTTAACAGCACTTTCCTCCCTTGCGTCCGTCTTCAGAGTACACAAAATCAACTTGGTTTTCTCGTCATTAAGCTTTAGTTTGTTCATATTGAACCACACTTTGGCCTGTTCAAGGAGATCTTGGGCTTCAGTCCGTAACCGTGGAATATCGCCCCCTCTGGATATGAGCGTGGTGTCATCTGCAAAGAGCAATGTAGAGCCATTAAGCCAAAGGTCATTAATCATGATCGAGAATAGCAGCGGTCCAAGCACCGAACCCTGCGGTACCCCGTGGGTTAAACTTTTAATACTGGACGAGGCCCCATTTACCGAAACCAGCTGTTTTCTATTGGCAAGATAGCTAGAAACTGTCCTTAGAGCTGTACCACCAACTCCATATTTTGTCATTTTAGAAATAAGCACATCATGTGACACCACATCAAACGCCTTGCTTAAGTCGCATAGACTTAGCAAGACTGAAGACTTATGTTCAAATGCATCAATTATAGTGTTCATAAGGCTGAGTAAAGCACTGGTAGTTGATCTACCCCTCCTAAAGCCATGCTGTGCATCAATCAGCGGGTGGTTGTGCTCTAGATAGGATACAAGTTGAACTTGAATTACGGTCTCAAAGATCTTAGAGAATACCGGAAGTATTGAGATTGGGCGGTAGTTTGATACAAGTGAGGAATCTCCTTTCTTGAAAACAGGTATTGTACGGGCCGTTTTGAGTATGTCTGGAAAAACACCTACCTCAAGACATGCATTTATAATTTTAGCAAGTGGGGGTGCTATAATCTCAATAACTGATTTCAATACATTACAAGACATCCCAAATACATCTTGGCTTTTAGAAGTTTTGAAGTTTTTCACCATAGATATAATTTCATGAGCACTCACCTTGCTCCAGGTGTCAAGTGTTAGTGTTGATGAGTGGTCTGTTACTTCCAGGGTGGGATCACTCTGTAATACAGGCAAACTATTTACAATATCACTAGCTATATTAACAAAATAGTCATTGAAATCGTCAGGGCTTGTTAAGATCTTAGGCCTTGTTCCTGTCTGCCGTCTAGCGTTGACTATGTCCCAAGCGGCCTTACATGGATTAGGTGCCGAGTTTATGATGTCACCAAAGTGACTCTTCTTTGCTTCATTGACTTTGGAGGAATAATCCCTTTTTACCTTACGGTACAAATCATAAAGGGTTTTTTTCCTAACTTCATCTAAACATTTTTTGTGGAGATCGTTTAGCAAAAGAACGTATGAACGTATTTTAGAGAGCTCAAGCGTGTACCAGTGCTTATCTTTGAAAGAGTTAGGCTTAATTTTATTTGACAAATTGAGAGACTGTCTAGGCTTATAACTTCTAGATGGGAACACACTATCGAACAGTTCCTTGAAAATTTCAAAAAAGTTTGAAAACCTCTGATCAGGGTTTAGAGATGTGTCAGGTAAATTCCAGTTTGAGAGACATTTCAGCTTTTGGTTCAAGACACCTAGGTTACTTTCGTCAATTTTACGCTTTACGAATATATATTTATCGTGCCATGAGATAGGCATTGGTCCTGTACTCACCAGATCCGCCACAATCATTAGGGAGACTGCTCCGTGGTCAGCAACAACAGGTTCAGTGACTTTCACTGCATATTCCCAGGAGTTAAGGTTTGTCACTATTGTGTCCAGGCATGCCATGTTTCTGGTAGGTTCTCTTGATGTAATGTACAACCCATAGCTTCTTAAAATATTAGTAAATGAGGCCTCCTCTTTTGATGGGAACTCAAGATGGATGTTGAAGTCGCCAGCAAGAAAGACATTTTTACAGTTGAGCCTAGTAATATAGTTCAGACACAAGTCAAGTTGGTGGAAGAAATTTGATAGGTCACCAGTTGGGGATCTGTAGACCGATACCACTATTGAAGATAAGTCTAATAGCTGCACTGCAGCAAGTTCCAGGTCCATCTCAACACTAAATTCATCAAGGTCAATAGGTTTAAAATTCAGACCATTGCGGACAAAGATTGCAGAGCCCCCGTTTCTGTGACATGAGCGGTAAAATGCACTTCCAAGGTGAAGATTGTCGATACTAAGAAAGAGGTCTGCTTCCTCTTTAGTTAACCAATGTTCGCAAACACCCAAAATATCACAACCAATTTCTCTGGCAAAGAGTGAAACCAGACTAGATTTATTTCTAAGACACTGTACATTTAGGGAGGAAATTATTAGCCCAGCATTATTGGTACCCGTTACTTCCGCTTTTTGTTTTATACTGTTAGGCCTAGTACAATTAGGCAGAGAGCCAGTGGGCGGATGTTCAGAGGTAGACTCAGGCTGGTTGTTAATTATAGTTGGTGTAGGCCTAGGCCTATCATTACTAGACTTAGTTGAATGTGTATTATTTACAATATGTACAGATAAGAAATTGTCTTCAGGGCCTATGTTACAAGGCTGGCCGGGGCTCTCCTGAATAAAAAACGTTTAAGTATAGCATTTTTTGGCCAGGAGGCACTTTGGAACAGTTCATCTTTTCGATCAAAATCTACACCTATCTTAAAGCTAGCGTTAGGTCCTTTTGACTCTAGTTTTTCAACAACAGGAGAGATGCCTGTAAATTTTGAAGTAACAAATTGCTTCACTGTCTCTACAGAAGTACTATTGTTTAGCCTACCCAAGTAAAACCAAGCTTTTTTATTACCTGATAGAGTTTTATCCTCACAAGTTCCAACAATTACAGGGACAGAGTTTAGGTTAGGTCTGGATCTAGGGTTAAGTTTCCCTTTCACTGTAGTACCACTCTTTTGTTGAGGTTTAGCCTTCTGCTGGTGTGAAGATGAAGAATTTGACACCTGGTCGTGATCACGATCTTGCTTTGAGCCACAGCCTTCGCGATCAGAGACTCTAGCAGTATTGGGAGCAGAGTTAGTGCTATGTGAAAGGCCTAGCCCTTTTCGGCGGTACTTATTTCGCTGAACTTTCCATCCATTGTCATGTGAGAGGTTTGGGAAATTTTCTTCGTTTAGCAAAAGTATCTCATCAGCCTGGGTAGGGTGTGAATCTATGGCAGTTGTATTATTTCCAGAGGTTCCAGGACTAGAGAATAGGCCTAGGTCAGGGGTTTCAATTTCATTTTCAATCATCTTCGATACATTAAGTGACTCCTGGGACTTCTGAGTACAATTTACTGATGGTTTCACTGGAGATTTATCCTTATTTTGCTGTCCTAAATGGACTATGTCACCGATAATATCAGCATGTGAGTGTAGCATCGATTTGATTGTCGTTTGCTCAGAACCCAGAGCATTCACATTTTCAGACATGGTTTTATAGTTAGCAGATAGATTAGAAATTTCGTCAGTTATTATTTTTATATAACTAAAACATTCACAGCAGAGAGGTTTCTCGTTGTCTTCAATTTTGTTGTCATGAATTACTGAAGGAGACGTTTTCACAGAGTCAAGCCATGAGATACAGTCCGGGCAAAGCCACACGAAAATGTCATTAATTGACTTGAAATTGTTGTAATCCATTTCAGAGATTTGAGAACAACTAATATGAAAAGACTTTTGACACTTTCCAAAACACTTTATCGCTTTACTACGCGTATTTAACTTTATATTACAAGAGCCACAATTATTAGGTGCGTCACCGGGCGCCATCTTGCTACTTTATCAGCAAGACAATGCAATACAGGGCCAAGGGCCAACTGTTCAACTGAACCATTGAGCATTGAGTGTCGAGTGAGTAGGCCTACACTGAACTAACCAACATTCAATACTGACTCACCCAGCGAGACCACGGAAAAAATATTATATTTAATTATCTGTGGTCGCTGGGCTCACTTGACAGCAGTAAACAGATGTTTCACGGGAAAATCATGCTGGTGGGGGTAGTTACTGGGCCGAGCAACTCGGTTTTCAACTAAAGTACTGGACTTGCTCTCAACTGACCTCTTTTTACCAACTCGCTCACTTCTGGACTTGCCTGCATGTCTACAACAAGCGAGTTAGAGAGCGAGTGGGAACTCGCATACTGACTCGCCCGCCGTTCTCAACCCGTGTAAACCAGGCTTATGAGCAGCTGAACAAATCACCACTGAGTGTGGGAATGTTCCTTCTAACCAGAAGGTTCCTGTCAGTGTACTTCCTGTTTCTTTTAGCAGATTTCCCATATAGGGAATAAGCTAAATACAGGTCTTATAGTAAGACCTGGGAACAGTTTATTCTTCCATTTTGATGTCCTCAGAGGCCAAAAACACAATTATTGGTTTAAACTCATATACATGTTTGTGTCTGTTGGCAACATCATCTGTCTCAAGCAGAAATCATCAGATTTTGATGAGTTGTGAGATTTGTATATCTTTTTTAAGCTTAATTATTTACAGTAGGCTACTATTATAAAAACAGCCCCACAAAACAATATAATGCTGTCTCAATATATTTTTAACACCTTATCAAACTAAATTTTATAGGATTAGGCCTACTCATCACTTCAACAAACCTATATGCTTTATGCGCCCTGTCCCATCCCCCAGAGCAAATTAATAATTACAACTTCCTGTACTCTTGTGATTGTGGTATCTATACATATAATACGTGAAGCCGTTTTTTGTTAACGCAACTCCTCCCTTATTTGTGGACCAATTTCAACGTTTAAGGTGTCAAAAGATTCGTCTGAATATGTAGTTTTGCAATAAGGTTTTAGAATTTTAAAATTCCTACTGTTGAAGGCGTGAGACCCTCTCAAAGGTCGGGTTTTCCCCATAAGAAATACATAGAACAAATTTAATAACAAAAAACAGCTGTTTAAAAAGAAACTCACTAGCTTTTTGGGAGTAAATATTAAAGTTTGTAATATTCAGGTTAAGACCAAGTTAAACAGTTAATCAGTTTTGTTGGAAGAACAGAAAATTCCTCATGTTCAAAGATGAAATGTTGAAAACCGGAGGAGGAGACAATTAATACAGTAATTAACATATCTTATGCGTATAAGGAGAGTAGAAAAAGAGAGGCCTGGTCTAACAGATACCCATCCAGATACACATTCACTTTGGTGATATATTGCATGCTTGGTTGATATATTTGGTGATAATATTAGCCAGTTCTGCTTTGCAACTTACTTTGGAAGTGAAAAAATATACGAAGCACATAGTGTTGTCACGGTGGTAAAGTAAACTTGCCTAATGTCAGATCAAATGAATGCATGCAAGAAATGTTTACTTCTGACACTGACAGATCGAGATATTTAAAAACATTTATTAGAAACTATAATAATGCCTTGACTATGATAAGTTCAAGTAGTAAGATTATACCAAATCTTGGCGGACCTTATGTTTTTATTGTAAACTTTTGTATTACTCGCTCTACTTCAATTGAGAAAAAAACGCAAATGGATTGTTTACTTCTAGGTTATGTTGCCAGTTCTTCGGGCTAACTTATATAAAGTTTTTTCACTGAATTTACCAACACAATCCAGACATTTCAAGTCAAAAATAAGAAGTTTCAAAAACTCATTTGCTATTGAACGTTTTAGTGGCAATATTAGACAAAACATAAGTGAAGGAATTAGTGTTTCTATATTCAACAATCGAGTAGTAACGGTCTATACGCTGTTCAAAAAGAGAAAATGAAAATTGCTCTCCAAATCTTATAGCTACAAGAGTTCTCCAACCTATTTCGACAAATGAATCCATACTTTCAAAAATTTGGGACAGGTATTAAGAGAAACTCCACTGAACAACATGAAAACATTCTGAAGCGGGGCATATACTGTGACTGATAGACAACACATTAATATACGTTAACCAACTTTCAATGGTGTTGCTGCTTTAGCCTATTCAAGCAGATTATGGCTGTCCAGAGAGTAACCTAGAGTTTGTGGGTAAAAAATGGAGCACATGAAACGGTTGATATCACCCCACTTATCTGGATTCTCTACGGAGAATTTTTTTTTATTCATGGGGATGTCTCAAATCGAAGAAATAAAATGACCCAACTTAAATAACTTAACACAGGTTATCAGTAAGGAAACAGTTTTCTTCAACTCTCAATGCTGGAAAAACTTTGTTGCAACATGCGGCTCATTTGAGCCGCACGGGTTCCCTAGTATTAAGTAAAAAGGGACAAGAAATTTGAGATAATAGTGTCAGTTGGTTTTTTAATACTTTACTGTTTTGTCTCAATCATTGCTTTTAATACATTTATATTTTTAATTGATTATTTTTTCAGGGTAATATGGAGAGGCAGTTAAGCTTAGAAGTTATGCCAATCATAATCATTGACCAAATCGCCAGTTATCTGAGTACAGAAGACATCATGGCTTGTTGCGCTACTAGCACCAAAATGAGGGACGTATTTAGCGATGATCTGATTTGGAGAAGATATTGTAACGTTGACCGCATTAACTATCTCAAAAGAAGTGCTTGTTGGGTTGAACCCGTTTTTGAGTGGGAAAATGACCGGTTAAGCAAGCTTTCACCAATAACTGAATGGAAAAGGAACTTCATGATGCAAGCCCACCTGTTCCAAAACTGGAGAAATGGCAGGTTTGAGAAAAGTGAATTGGAGTATGGACCTCCCAACGTCGTCTATAGCCAATCTAGGATTGAGTTCTATGAAAATGACTTTTTATTCCTCCACACATACCTTATTAACAACAATAAGCTGCTAGACGAAATTTGGGATGTCGTTGAAACACCCTTTTTACATTCAACGTTTTCATCTAACATTGATCAGTTTGACAATCTTGATTCGCTTGTTTTTTATAAAATAGCAAAAAACAAGCTAGTTGTCGGTGTTTATAACTTAATTTTAGTGTATGATATCACATTGGGATCTTTCTCTCGCATTCCATTGGTGAATGCATTCCTGTTTGAGAAGTCTGAAAAGGGTTCTAAAGATGTTATCACTCATGATGAAAACACTTTTTACAGGACAACTTACTTTGAATTGGTGTATCAAGTGGAGATGACTGTTTCTGGTAACTTATTTATAGGAGCTGTAACAAATTTCAAAGATTTGCCGTGCCCTGCATTTCATGTTTGGGATATTCAAAAGGGGCAAAAAATTGACGAAGTGAATGTTCCTGTCGGTAGCAATCTTGCTATTGACGGATTACAGTTCCTGTCATGCGATGATGAAAAGAATGTAGTAGTAAAACTTCGGGTTTTGCATGACCGGCATACATACCATTGTTATGGGTACGATCTTTCAAAAATGATGTTCACTTCGTTTTTAGTCAAACTTAACTACTGTGACTTTCAAGTCTTCAAAAGCAAATTTTTAATCGGTGCAGCTGCTGAAAGAATCTTCGTGTACAACTATGAAACATCAGAAAAACTACTGGTCAGAAAGTGTCCACAACAAATTCTAAAAAAGACGATAAATGTTGTTGGACAAATGTTGCTGTTTGGAACATTTGAAAATGTTGTACATGTCTTTGATCTCACAACTTTAGATATCATCAACAAAGTTAAGCTCGGATTCACATTATATAGTTTAAGAGCAATATGTGATAAATTTGTTGTCATCAACTCGGTAAATAGTGAAGTGTGGGAGATAGGCAGAACTGCCAGGAAACTATTCAAATTTCCTGTCAACGGATCGTTTGTTGCTGTGAATCAGCATTGTACAAAGTTAGCGATAGAAAAAGAAAACAAAATTGTAATCTTACATTTTTGGTGATTCAACTCTTCTTTGTGTACCAATGCAGACAAGGCTATTGATCTCTTAAGCAAATTTTGATTTGTAACCATCACTATTTACATAATCCGTGAAATCTTACCAGAATCTTATTGTGGCTCTTAAATAACTAGGCATATCTGTAATGTAGTTTTTAACATTTTAAATATACCTCAGATATGTTTTTTGATAAGCACTATTTTTTTTCTAAATATTGTAAATAATAAAAAAGTTTCTATAGAATATTCAGATTAGAAACCTTTTGACTCAAGTTTAAAACTTGAAATACACAATTATGGTATAAAATACCCCTGCCGCAGCAAACTTACACACTAAGTGCATTTTTAATTACCTGATAAGGTTTTTACAATAAGTTATTATTATTATTGTTACCTATATTTTGATTATTTATCACCTAATTTCTTCAAATGGACACATACCTTAAAAACCTTCACATACCTTCATGGTCCCAAAAAAATCGGGGTCGGTGTTTTTTTAACCATTGCAAGTAATGTAACAATGCTTTGCAAATAAAGTAATATACTTAAAAATCTAATTTTTGAAGCAAACATATTTTTTCCCATTTAATACTAGAGTCCACATGGAGCTGGGCAAAAATTAAGTCTTTCTATGATTGTTGTACTTTTCACAAATCCTACACAGTGTTAGTGGTTTTATCTGATTTCCTTTGATTCCTGAGTGTTTCTTGGTGTTTCTCATATCTTGGTTGGATTAATTTTAATGCAAAAAAATCAAATCACATGTTTATTTTATAAATACAAGAGTCCTACAATATATTAGTTTAGGAAAAGTTGTTAGTATTGTATTAAAACGTTAGGTTCTCCTGAAGTTTTTAAGTATTGGTGTTTTATATTATTTTTGAAAAATAGGATTTTAAAGAAAATTTAAATAATTTCCAATTTTGTCTTCTCCCAATTTCTGTTAACACGTTCACTGCTAATGACGCACTTGTGCGTCATAAGTATATTAGCAGATATATAATACATGATGTATATAATTACATAATATATTTTAATCCACAATTTATAGTATAAAATTTATTTAATTAAAGATATATTGTCACTCAATTAACATGATCATGTTAATGTTTATGTTTTTTAGCCATTTATAAAAGTATTACATATCATTAGCAGTGAATGTGTTAATATATTCTCCAAAAATTGAAAATTTTACATTCTAAAACTGTACAAACCCATGTTTTTATTACCGGCACTTGCATAAAAGATTTATTATTATTATCTTCACTCAGATTATAATGAAGTAAACAGTTAACTCTGGCAGCTAAACCCTGCGGATATTAGAATAATATTGTGGTGAAGACAAAAAAGTTCTATCCAACAAGCAATTTAGGGTTTCTTTTGTATATTTAAAAATCGGTAAATTTTTAACAGTTGTTAAAGGGGAAATAGTTGGATTGCCACCAGCATATTAACACAGTAGATAATATTTTTATGTTTATTAGTATTTAAGAGATAGCAAATAAATGTGAGCCCATTTAATTAATTTATTACCCAAGGAAATAACATAAAATGACAACCAATGATGAATACAAACATATTTTTGAAATGTACTCAAACTCGTCCATACACTTATAATGCTTTGTTTTGATAAAATAATTATCTATATAATTTTTTTATTGCATTTTATGTACATCTTCGCAATTTATATTATTTTATACTTTAGATCATTGTTCAATCTTGTATCTTCTAATTATAACATATATTATATATTCATATTATATCATGTAAATATATAGGAATTTGTTTTAAAATTGTTTATCAGCCTATGTAGGCCTATACATATTTTGTACAAAGTAAGATCAACAATAATAATTGTGTAAAATTTGATGAATAAATAGTTATTTGTGTAACTAGTGGTGAAAGTAGCACTTTGCTGCACACGAGAGCAATGTTTACGCACGAGCCGCAGGCGAGTGCGGAATGATCTCGAGTGCAGCAAAGGCCTTTTTCACTCGTGTTACACATTATATTTTTCCTACAGTCACTATAAAACATATAAATAATTAGTCTTTCAAACACTATACAACACGTTTTTAGGTTCAGCTGGCAACACAAATAGGTGCCCTAGAGAAAGTAGTACCCGCGGTCTGTATCACTCCGCTATTTTTCCTCGGCAAGAAATGTGCTCCGCGTTTTGAGAATATAGTTCCGTCTGTTTTTGTAATTTGAAGTGGTTTCCGCGCCTAAACAAATGCTTTAAAGGTATTTTCTTGTTTATTAAGATCGTAGGAATGTTTTAAAAACGTTTAAATGAAAAGTCCAGAAAGTTCAGAAATACCTAAACTATAAACACGAAATGACAGGTTAAATCGTAGTTATAATAGTCAATCAGCTGCTCATAGTATTATTATCTTTAAGTGTTGCCAACCTATTTCCAAGCGTACACGGATTACGTGCATAATAGAACCACGCTGTTTTGTGTTCGTTTCGTTGGAATCCTGATGTGCGGCAAAGTATAAACCGTACGGCAAAGTATAAACCGTACGGCAAAGTATAAATATGCAGCAATTAGCAGCTTTCTGTACTAAAAACAGTACAAGGAAGCCAACTTTGTCGGGTGACTGTAGGAAAATATTTTTAGAAGTATTACATCTTTCTCAATTGAACACCTATATAAATACTGACCTTGTAGACACAACCTGTAGGACGACTACCGGATCATAATTGTATGTTTGTAAATCTCTGTTAAGGAGAGAGAATGAATAAAAGCTAGTGTTAGGAATTCCGGGTTTTCACTTAATGACTTTTACCACCCTTGACATGGTCTAGTGCTCTGGTGTCAACATGCTCAAAGCTTAAGGTGCTATGGAACATCACTTAGTGACTGGAATAATAGGATGTTAATTATTCTTGGAACATAATGTCTCATCACCCACATTTTTGTAAAGTTAAGGTTTAAGCGTGTTCTCCGACTTGAAAATATAAAAACAATCACTAAACGTCCAGAAAAATCGCTGACTGAAATCGTATTAAACCGTCCAACTGATATTTTTGTTCAATTATTTTGATGGAGTATGAGTAAAATTCCGTTGCATAAATTGGAAAAAATATGTTTACATCAGTTTGTGATATGGATAAAGTTGGTCTCTGATACAGTTCAGGTTAGTTTAAGGTTTAAGTTGTATGGTAAAGAACCCTTAAAAGGAATTGTTTTGATGTATAATTGACAGCATTGCGGGTTTTAGAAATGATGCCCACAACTCTTCTCACTCATAAAGCTGGCGAAAAAACTCACAAAATACAAACCTAAGCTCCTATTTTAAGCAGAGCATTAATTCGATTTTATTTACTAATATATAAAACTAGCTGTTGTACCCGTGCTTTGCAACGGGAAGAGGACATAAAATATAAACGTTTTTAATCTTTATCTCTTGCATAATAGTTACACATCCGCCAACGGCGCCAACGCTTTTAGAAACAAAATTCAACTTTTATGGCCTTAATAGAAACGTTTAAGTTGTGACTTTTAAATCTGGTAAGTAGGTGGTGGATACCATCATTTTGGTTTTGATTAATTTTAAATCTTGTGTAGGCTGATATGAGAAAAACTGACCAAATCTTTGAGTAAAACTTTGACATACATGATTTAATTACCAGATTTACCTTCATCTCCCTTAATTACACATCTTTTAATTTATTATTGACATTTTAAATTTCAATTTTGAAGTTGCAAAAATACTAATTATTAAATTTAAATATCTTTATATTAAACCATTATATAGTCAATGATTAAACTCTTCTTTATATTAAATCACAAATCCTTTCATCTTCAGTTTTTTCACTCACAATAAATCATTAGCTAAACTAAGTCAGCTGTTATAAACTTTAGAAATATTGCTGTGCCTTATCAATATAGTCTTTTGAAATATTAAAGAAACATAGAAAAAATATATCTATAGGTACTATAAAAAATTTCAAACAAATAATTTAGCATTAAAGACAGCAGACAAAACTAATATGATTATCAAAGCATCAAGGACTAAAAAATATAATAGCAAATACAGTATATGTTTAATTGCATCTCTGATTCTACTATACAAAAATATCAACAAACAACAAACCAGTTCTTTTAATCAGTTCCATCGTCCCTTACCTTTACATTTTCACACTTACCATTAAGAAAACATAGTAACAGATATTTCATTGATTTTAGAAACAAAAGAGCACTGTGTACTGCTTAGTTTTATGATATTGTCCTTGGTTTAATTTAATCAGTGGTGTGGCAAAACAAAACACAAATAATAAATGTATCAAATAAAGTAAATGTGAACTGAAAGCTATGTTAAGATAAAATAAGAGTATTTTGTATTACCATTTGATAATTAAATATAGTTACACATATTCAACATATTTTAGAAAACAAAAATCAACGACAATAGTTATTGATGATATTCTTTAGTTTAATTTAAGCATAGGTTTAGCAAAACACAATAACTTAATTTACCTAAATATACATATAAAACACAATGTGATGTGCAAGTTAAGTTATGTTAAGTTAATCTAACATGTGAAGCAGTTAGAATTTATTTAAAGTAGCCTCCAAATTCATACAAAACATCTATACATTGTAATTTTCATACTGTTTCCATGAAAACATATCAATAACATTATTTTCACTTAAGATTATTAACTTAAGACGCTTTAAAATATCCAAAGCAGAGCCGGAGTTGATACAGCAACGGTTATAAAATCTTTTTTTTTATATAATCATTGACATAGTTTTAGAATAAATAATCCATCATAAAAGGTTATATTAAAATAAACCTACTTCATATTTATGGAAAATATTATATTTAATTTCTTTGTATCAGCTGTCTGAAATTGTGAAATATACAGTTTAGCAGTTCTTCTTGTTTATATTTAAATGTCAAAGCAAATGTAAACAAACACTGTTAGTTTTCTCATCACAGCCATGGAGACCAATCAACAATATTTACTTTTAAAATGTTCACCTCAGAACTTTTAAAGCCAAAGGGGCAAAGCCTACGGTAAGTATCGAAATGTGAATAGTCCTATAATGGTCCTTGGTATGGTAGCTATATTTTTGTAAAATTTAAGCCCAGTTGGTTCAGTAGTTTTTTCACCTATTAGTAATACACATACAGACAGACACCATTAGATTTTTATATAATAGTATAGATTGATGAATAATGCAAAATTGCATGTTTTACTCTCATCATTCTGTTAAAGTGGTGCAATTTTTTTCTACACTTGTTGCAATTTATCAATTTAATATATTACTAGGGATCCCGTGCGGCTCAATGAGCCGCCTAGTATGAAACATAACGCCGAGGAAAACCTTATGCTTAAATTCTAGTAACTTTAGTTACATCTTAGAGTTATTTGAAAACTTGTTAGAAACTAATTTTAAATATCTCTAATGGCGTCACCAAGGTTAACCTACATCATTTCTGCTCTCGATTTTAACTGATAACTTCTAAT